ATATGAACATAATTAACTCACTTGTATTCCATGCCAAAAATAGCCAGAAGTCATTTCAACGCGACCTATAGTCGACACGGCCCAACGAGCGTATTTCTCTGGATCTGGTATAAACAAACCACCACGCATTATAACTCTAGAGTATGAATTTATCTTTGTAACAACAAAATATGGAGACACCAACTGTACGTGTATGCCATAATGACTGGCCTCATATTGAAGTGCCAAAGTCAAACTACGATTATATGCTTTCGTAGCTGCATATATAGCACCATAAGGTAATGGCAACAATTCTGATCCAGAAGATATATTCACGATTGCTCCTTTTATATTAGACTTTTGCATGCGTAGTAGAAAGTAACGTGATAACTCTGTAACTGCACCGATATTTACATTGATAACACTCCATAGTTCTTCTGCGCTGAAAGAACACATTGGTCCGGGCTTAGATGTGCTCTGCCCAACATTATTCACTGTAAATATTATTTTAATATTTATAAAAATTTTTTTCGAAATTATTCGTACCCAATAATCCTATTGGAATATCGTCTAAGGTCTCTTCAATACTTTTGTATATCTCAGAACCATGAGAAAAGTCCGCGACAATTATTTTCACTTGCACTCCGAACTCTTTTTCTAAAATTATGTATTTATTAGTATACACCATATAATTTTTGATATTTTCGTGTGTTATATAGTCTATATAAAAACCACTAAGTTATGATATGACGTTTACTTTATGTATAACTAACCAATTTCACTTGCTACAGCTTCTAACTTCGATTTTGTTCTGGATATGAGAACTACATTAAAGCCTTCTCGTGCCAGTTCTCTGGCATAATATTTACCAATGCCATCTGTTGAACCAGTAATAACTGAAAGAAAGCAGCATAATCACAATTGCTGTGAATATTTAGTTGTTTTAAATCTGTTAGGTATACTTCACCTGCCCATTCACCAAACCTTTCAACTAAACGTTTCTGTTTTTCACCAAAAAACTTTTGATTCACATAGTCCCGAATTATTATATATGGCGATTTGAGATTATCATAAAGATAGCAACCAAGTGCATATACACCTATAAATAATAAGAAGTTCGCTAAACAATCGAACATTGTTAAAGGCACTCGCCCGACTACTGACTGTTATCGGACTATTATGGCTTTCAACGAGAAGCGTTGGAAATGAACTGCGATTAGAAATTGCAAATATTTTGGGTTTTGGGCCGTGTGATAAGGGTGTTCTCTTCTAGGTGTAGCGCACGCACAGACAATTGATTTCATCAAACGTTGTGACTTCTTTAGCTCTGTGCAGTGTTTGGGTGACTATAATAATACACAGTGCAATATTTTGAATTCCATGTTTTTGACTTAATTTGAATTGACTAAATGACTGCAAAAGTTCATTACACTGATGAATGGTAATTGCGATAAGCATTATTTTTGATTAATTTTAAAACAACTGTTAGTGAGTCATAAATACTTTAATGTGTTATCATTACACAATAATATAATATATTAAGCATAATAAACATGTGCTTAGTAAATAGGTGCACAGTGAGGCCGATTGCCGAAAAGTTGGCCATAAATTCAAAAAAAGTTTTAAATTTTTTTATGTTCTGTTCGCTTTAAGACATAATCAGGAATAATATATAACCTAGAAAAATTTTTTTTCTTTTAGTTTCGCCACTATAGCGCTCGCTGTATTTCTAATAGTATAACTAGACTCGATGAATGTCTAAATCATCGACTTTATAGTTCATTACAAGCTATTTCATCTGGTTATAAACTTTTAAATCCATAAACTTTTAATACATGGACCACAAAAAATCTCATTCATTATTATCGATAGATAAGGGGTCTAAAGACGCTTAAGAGGTCATGCAATAAAAGTTCACGAATCAAAACAATACATGATATATTTTTTAGATCCATATCTATCTAGTTGTCGACCACTATTTTCTATGTCATTTATATCGGTGCCAACTGAAGTTGTTAATCTGCTTTTATTTCCAAATATCTAAACTAATGAATTCAATTGGCAGAAAAATTTTTTGAGATCAGTATATTCGACTTCAGAATATTCGCAACTACAAATTTATTATCTGTGGATGAAAATGATTTCTTCCTGCAACCATTTACTGATAATTTACTAAAGAGGTTTTTAAAACAGTAGCGAGACTATAACAACAAAAATTTATTTTATATTATTTCAATTAATTGAATTTTTGGCTGACTATACAGCTGTTTCGAGTAATGCCAAATACCCATCATCAGTGGTGTTGGAAATAATTCTTGTATTTAATTATTTATAAATAATTATTTCATTTTTAATTTTTTTTAAGCTTCGGATATTGTTATTCATTGTGTTTAAAAAAGTTTTCAGTCTTAATTATCAATAAAGTTTTATAAGTGAAAATTAAGAAAATATCACCACTTTTTAAATCCTTTTTCATTTCCATTTGCGGTACCCAAGAAAGGTATCCGAGTTTTTTCATAAAATTTTTCATGCTAATAGCTAAATGGTGAAACATAGTCTGTGCACTATGTTATACACCTATTTCACGTTCCAGAAATCACTTAAAAATTACGCAAAAATGATCTTCAATAAATCTCATTTTTTCGACAACAAATTCAATAAGTAAAAATTTAAGAGCATTTATTATTTCAAAAAAATAACTTTACTACTTATTTATTTATTTATGTTTCAAAGTTCAAGCAAATCGGTTATAACAGATTATATTATATTTAAATGCCCGAACGGAATTATGTCTAAAGTGTTTAGTATTAAAATGCATACCTAATTGCTTCTAATTAAATTTAACAACAAGCAGGAAATAATATTTCATTTCAATACCTCTACGAGTTCAGGAAATATAGAATTTTGATCGGCTTATATCTGTTCTGCCACACTGTGCGGCGCTCAAAAGAGAATTTTTTAAATTTTTATAAAGAAAGTAACACAATATTAGGTGCATATTGTTGTTCTCTTTATTAGTGATAACATTTTGTATCTACTTCTAAACTACTATATAATTCGAAGTGTTGAATAAAAAAGCCGGTAAATCCGAACCCAGTCAATTATGCTGTAAATCTTCTGTATAGGCAATTTTCTATGGGACGTTTCTAAAGGACTAGAAGTTATTTTAAATTGGTTATTTATTTAAGCGTGACTAAATCTTGGTCCGATTCATATTATTTTGAAAGATATACTCTGTTTTTTCGTACACTACAAGCGAGATTGAGATTGACATCTCATCATGGTTCATCTATTTAAGTTTATTTATATGACAAAATTAGTTTTTCGTCATTAATGACTTAACTAACATATATTATGTTTTTATAATGCTTTTATAATGCTTTAACTTATAAATTACAAAACTCAATCTCAAGAATTAACAAGTAAACCAAGTAAACGGGTTTTTTACCCCTTTTACATAAGAAACAAATATAGCCATGAGGGGGTAACTATTTATGGCAAACATAGATATATTTCTTACAATGGACCTTTTCTTTATACATCACTAATCTCTATCTAAAAAACTTAGACCAACTCTGTCTAAGTTAGTCTTCGAGTTTATTTCTTCATTATTCGTTCGTACTCTTAAAGTCAGAAAACCTTTTTTTAATAAGCAGAATTTATTTTAGGATATACACTTACAACTTACAATATGAATTATTATTCTTTGTATTTAGTTAGATTTTGGTTATATCTACTGAATTTATCTGTTATAGTAGATATGTCTACTATATCTTTAGTTATACCGTATACACCTATATAACTAACCACTTGCAACAGTTCAAGAACAGCAGTCAAACAATTTGCTACGTTACAACTTCAGTAAATACACGAATAAAGTATTTTAATTCTCATTAGTTTTAATTTTCGTGATCTGTAAATAGCAATCGAATGCACTGTGAAGACATTGATGTTAATATATTTTGTTTACTTTTAGTAGTTTGATTTCTCATCACCTTCTGATCCTATTATGCCGCTTTTGTGATGATATATAATATATTTGTTCCATTTTATAAACAATGTATAAGCTATTTATTATATGCAGATATATAATCTCCGTTATTATTATGTTATTACTAAGATAAAAAATTCGGTGAACTCTCGTGTTGTGTCTTGTTAGGGGAAAATGTAAAGATATTTATATATATAGAAGTACGCATTAACATATCTGATAGTAAAAACTAATATTTTTGAACTATAATTAATTAAGTAATAGAGTTCATTGGAATACGAATTCAAATCATTAAATCCTGAAGTAGCTTTATTCAAATATGAACTAATTATTGTGATTGTTTATGGCAATATATTGCCAAATATATTATGGAGTATTTTTATTGTAGGTATAAATTTTGCATGGATGCCCTTGTATTTGAATACCATAATACATTTCAACAACAAGATATCTTAAAATTTTACAAAGAAATATCGATTTTGTTTGATGAATGATGCTATCGTTGTCATTCTCAAATGACTCGGTCAACTCCGGCCCATATTCAATCAATGGCTTGCGCTAACTACAGTAACTACTGACAATAGTCAGTAGTCCATTGTTTCACTAGGTAGTATTAGTTAATATATATTGTACACTATTCATCTTCATCTATATTGTGCCAAGTTCACATTTTAAGTTTCAACTTAAACATTCTTGATTCTTCTTCTTCTTGAGTCAGTGCTATTACGCACTTTTACTCTATAATGGCTGGGAGGCTTATCTCTATCCCACACTAGGCTTTAACTAGGCTAAAAAAAATCATATTATTTATTTGTCTTTTAGTTGATGACGGACCTTAAATCAGCATATCTTCCTGAGAGTCCAGAAGTGGACTTGAGGATTGTTAGGGCTTTAATGAGAATTGAAATATGACATTGAATTCAAAAATATTGATTTCTTCGATAATATACATATTAATGATAATATATATATAATACATACACTTTACAATCATTTAAGTTTAAAGAAATGTTACTATAATTTTGTGTATTTGTTAATATATTTTTAAAAAATCTTGTACTTAATTTATTTTTAAATCGTCCACAATCTTAGGAGCAAACAATTGAATGATATATGTGCAAAGACTGACTGGAAAAAGTTTTCCTATGGCACACTAAAATATAAAAGAAAAAGTTTTAAAATTTAAAAGAAAGTCGGTTAAAATAAATAATTTAAAAAAAATATATATAATTAAAGTATATAAGGATATTACTATAATATATGTACATATAATTAAAATATATTATGAAATGAGTCCACCTGATTCATAACATATAGAATATGCATACCATGAAAATTGCAATATAGAATAATGTTCATATGTAATAATTATAGTATGTAGTTATATAAATTAATTATTAATTGTAAAATTAAATATAACTGAAATTTCAATTATGAAATATAAAATATATTATTTTTATTAAAATAAATTAAATTCAAATCAATTAGTCATATAAATATAAATTAAATATATATTAAAATATAAATTGAATTAATCTATTTAATGAAATAATTTATAATTTTAAGTACACCCACTTTGTATAACCCATATATTTGTTATATGAGCATAATTTACTCACTTGTATTCCATGCCAAAAATAGCCAGAAGTCATTTCAACGCGACCTATAGTCGAAACTGCCCAACGAGCGTATTTCTCTGGATCTGGTATAAACAAGCCACCACGCATTATAACTCTAGAGTATGAATTTATTTTTGTGACAACAAAATGTGGAGACACTAATTGGACGTGTATGCCATAACGACTGGCCTCATATTGAAGTGCCAAAGTCAAACTACGATTATATGCTTTCGTAGCTGCATATATAGCAGCATAAGGTAATGGACACAATTCTGATCCAGAAGATATATTCACGATTGCTCCTTTTATATTAGACTTTTGCATGCGTAGTAGAAAGTAACGTGATAACTCTGTAACTGCACCGATATTTACATTGATAACACTCCATAGTTCTTCTGCACTGAAAGAACACATTGGTCCGGGCTTAGATGTGCTCTGCCCAACATTATTCACTGTAAATATTATTTTAATATTTATAAAAATTTTTTTCGAAATTATACTTACCCAATAATCCTATTGGAATATTATCCAAGGTTTCTTCAATACTTTTGTATATCTCAGCACCATGAGAAAAGTCCGCGACAATTATTTTCACTTGCACTGCGAACTCTTTTTCTAAAATTATATATTTATTAGTATACACCATATAATTTTTGATATTTTCGTGTGTTATATAGTCTATATATATGTAAAACCACTAAGTTATGATATGACGTTTACTTTATGTATAACTAACCAATTTCACTTGCTACAGCTTCTAACTTCGATTTTGTTCTGGATATGAGAACTACATTAAAGCCTTCTCGTGCCAGTTCTCTGGCATAATATTTACCAATGCCATCTGTTGAACCAGTAATAACTGAAAGTATAGTGAATATTTAGCTGTGAATATTTAGTTGTTTTAAATCTGTTTGGTATACTTCACCTGCCCATTCACCAAACCTTTCAACTAAACGTTTCTGTTTTTCACCAAAATACTTTTCATTCACATAGTCCCGAATTATTATGTATGGCGATTTGAGATTATCATAAAGATAGCAACCAAATGCATATACACCTATAAATAATAAGAAGTTCGCTAAACAATCGAACATTGTTGAAGGCACTCTGTCAGATTACTGAGTGATATTGGACTATCGTGGCTTTCAACGAGAAGCGTTGGAAATGAACTGCGATTAGAAATTGCAAATATTTTGGATTTCGGGCCGTGTGATAAGGGTGTTCTCTTCTAGGTGTAGCGCACGTACAGCCAATTGATTTCATCAAACGTTACTGCGTCTGCTTTACAGTATGCAGTGATTGCTTAGAATTTAAATGATATAAATGAGGGTTCTGGCATTAGAATTCCGATTTCTTTAGCTCTGTGCAGTGTTTCGGTGACTTTAATAATACACAGTGCAATTTATTTCAAATTTATTGGTTCTTTTTTTATCCGCGTAAAGCAATGCTAAGCAATACAATTTGTCGGGGTGATTCCAATCGAAATCGCTTGTAGAGACTTTTAACGTACAATGATTTAAGGATTGTTTGCAACTGATTGAAGGTAATTTAGAAATCATTACGGATGAGTAGACACTGTATATAAAGCTATCACTGTTAGAAATTAGAACTTACTGTAGTGGAACTTTGAGGTTTTGTAGGAAAAGAATGAGACATACTAATAGTTTGCCCGGCTCTAATGCATGAGCGAAAAAACTACCTAAGTGGTCATTTTATATCGGATGAAGAAATAAAATCCGCTTATTGTAGGTTCAGTATTACAATTTATTGAGAAAATTGGACGTGGAGAAGTACTCTTAGCCTATGAGGATGTAACAATTGATCTATAGGTTACAGTGCAAAATACCCCAATTTGATATGAATAAAAATAATAACATTGTAATTGTAGTTAAGATATGCTAGATGGGCTTTAGCTGACTGTTTTTTGTGCAAACTATTAAAACAGCTACCATTTTTGTAATACTGTTATCTAAATCTGTAGGATGTTTTTATTCTGCCTTGTAAATTCTATTACAGCCTATTTTTGGAATATTGTGGTAAATTTATATTATAATCTTTATTATTATTAAAGTAGCTCACATGAAATTTCTCATAGTCCACTGTACGAGATCGTGTGATTATTAATTCTTTATCTATAATAATATCTATTGATAGTAGGAAATGTTTTTAGTTTTTTACTAATTTTTTTTTAAATATTTTTATTTGTATTATATTGTACAAATTAATTGATTAATCTTAAAATATATTCTCGTCATTGTTATTTAAAAGCGAATTATTTGGCAGTACATTTTTTTGTCATGTTTAACTTACTCTAAAAAGTTCTTAGGTTGATATGGATATCACGTCATCAAAAACAGTCCCTCTAGCGCCTCGGAATAAAAATATTTATAAAATTTAAGTCAAATCACGATGATATTTCGAATATTGATTAATACGATTTTTAAGTTGTTGTGAAACAATTTTTGATATTTGAAAATAATGGAAAAATTATTACATAACTAACTACTTGCAACAGTTCAAGAATAACACTTAAACAATTTGCTGCGTTACAACTTCAGTAAATACACGAATAAAGTATTTTAATTCTCATTAGTTTTAATTTTCGAGATTTTTAAATAGCAGTCGAATGCACTGTGAAGATACTGATGTTAATATATTTTGCTTACTTCTTTAGTAGTTAACTGTCTCATCATCATCATCTGTTTTAATTTTGTCGCTTTCGTGATGATATACAATATATTTGTTTCATTTTATAAATAAAGTATTATAAACTATTTATTATATGCAGATATATATCTGTGGTAATTATAGTCGGTATAAATAAATTAGTAAATACAAATTTATGAAATAGCTCAAGAAAAGAACGCAAACAATTTGATGCGACACATCTTCAATAAATACTGGTTCGATTTTAGGAATACTATATTATACTTGTCATTAATTAATGCACTTTGAAGACATTGATGTTAATATATTTTATTTACTTGTTCAGTAGTTTTCCTTCTCATCACCATTTCCATTAAATATAAACTATTTATTATATGCAGATATATAATCTCCGTAGTAAATGTTATTACTAAGATAAAAAGTTCGGTGAACTCTCGTTTTGTGTCTTGTTAGGGAAAGTGTAAACAAAGTTTTTGATTAAGGCCCTTATATTAGAGTACCATGAAACATTTCATAACACAGTCCCGACTTACGCATACATTATGTACGAAATGTAAACTGAATATCTTAAAATTTATTGAACATTAACTAGAGTTAAGAATTTGCGAAAAAAAATTTCTATTTTTTCATTACCAGTTTATATAGAAATTTTTTGTCGGTTTAAGAGAGGTGTACGTGGATTGGTGTGTCATTCTAAAATCACTTGGCCAACTTCGGTCTATATTTTGATAATATCTTGCTTCAACTACAATTGTTACTACCAATAGGTTCCAGTCAATGGTTTCACCAAGTAATATATGGTTAAAATAATCATCATTTGTAAATCTTTATCATTATTGGGTGAATAAATATAGCTTTGCAAGGATACAGCGAAAGAGACGGGTAGACCCTTCTATTTAATTGAATCCCACAATTATTTAATGAATATAGAAAAAAGGAATTAAATAAAAAATTTTAGTTGCTACGATATTGATTATAATACAAGGAGTTTATTATTATTATATTTTTGAAGAATATTATTAAAATTTTAAATTAAATTATAAATATTTGATCAATTTTAATTTTAATTATTAAGATATTTGTGAAAAATTTTGTACTTAATTTATTTTAAAATGGTCCACAATTTTTGGTGCAAACGATTTGATAATATATGTGCGAAGGTTGGATGGAAAAAGTTTTCCTATGGCGCACTAAAATAAAAAATAAATGATTTTTTAATTAAAAAAAATAATTAGTTGAAATTAATAAAATTAATATAAAAATATATAATAAAAATTTGTAAGGATATAACTATAATACATAATTTATATATGTTATGAAATAAATCTACCTGATTCATAAAGAAAATGCATACTGTGAAAATTGCAATATAGAATAATGTTCACATGTAATAATTATAGTATGTAGTTATATAAATATATTATAACAATATAATTTAAAAAAAAATATAAAATTTATTATGAAATAAAATATATCTGAATCAAATAATAGGAATTATTCCATGTTTTTTATTAAAATTAGTTAAATTGATTAAATCAATTGAAATATATCTTTAATTAATTTATTTAATAAAATAATTTAAAATTTTAGGCACACCTACTTTGTATAGCCCATATATTTGTCATATGAACATAATTTACTCACTTGTATTCCATGCCAAAAATAGCCAGAAGTCAGTTCGACACTACCTATAGTCGATACCGCCCAACGAGCGTATTTCTCTGGATCTGGTATAAACAAGCCACCACGCATTATAACTCTAGAGTATGAATTTATTTTTGTGACAACAAAATGTGGAGACACTAATTGGACGTGTATGCCATAATGACTGGCCTCATATTGAAGAGCTAAAGTCAAACTACGATTATATGCCTTCGAAGCTGCATATATAGCACCATAAGGTAATGGAGATAACTCTAATCCAGAAGATATATTCACGATTGCTCCTTTAATACCAGACTTTTGCATTCGTAATAGGAAATAACGTGATAACTCTGTAACAGCACCGATATTTACATTGATAACACTCCACAGTTCTTCTGCGCTAAAAGAACACATTGATCCGGGGTTAGGTGTGCTCAGCCCGACATTATTCACTGTTAGCATAATAAATAATAACGCTATGATTTTTTGTAAACACAGTTTCCAAAATTATTCTTACCCAATAATCCTATTGGAATATCGTCTAAGGTCTCTTCAATACTTTTGTATATCTCAGCACCATGAGAAAAGTCCGCGACAATTATTTTTACTTGCACTTTGAACTTTTTTTCTAAAATTATATATTTATTAATATACACATCAAATTTTTTGGGAAATATATGTTAGAATAAGAGAAATCATGTGAACGCTCAAACTTCTGCAAACTATGAAAATCCATTGCACCAAATTGGTATGGAAAAATTATATAGTCAAGCAAAGTTGCGAGACCGTTCCCATGCGCAAATCGCCATCATAAAAATTACGCAGTATGTATTCTTCTTAAATAGGAAACATTTCAGAGTTTTTGCTATTTTGGTATATTGATTTTTTATTATTTTATAGTGAGAAGAGAGCACTTGTACAAATTTTTCACAAAATATATATATATATACTTCTTCAAATTGACGTATTTCAAACCTATGTATACTTCATACTCAACTAACCAATTTCACTTGCTACAGCTTCTAACTTTGACTTTGTTCTGGATATGAGAACTACATTAAAGCCTTCTCGTGCCAGTTCTCTGGCATAATATTTACCAATGCCATCTGTTGAACCAGTAATAACTGAAAGAATATTTAGCCGTGAATATTTAGTTGTTTTAAATCTGTTTGGTATATGTTACTTCACCTGCCCATTCACCAAACCTTTCAACTAAACGTTTCTGTTTTTCACCAAAAAACTTTTGATTCACATAGTCCCGAATTATTATATATGGCGATTTGAGATTATCATAAAGATAGCAACCAAATGCATATACACCTATAAATAATAAGAAGTTCGCTAAACAATCGAACATTATTAAAAGCACTCTGTCAGACTACTGACTGATATTGGACTATCGCGGCTTTCGAAGAGAAGCGTTTGAATTGAACTGCGATTAAAAGTTTCAATATTTTGGATTTCGGCCCGTGTGGTTTGGGTGTTCTCTTCTAGGTGTAGCGCACGCACAGACAATTAATTTCATCAAACATTACTGCGTCTGCTTAACGCTACGTGGTGGCTGCTTGGAATTTAAATGACATAATTAAAGGTTGCAATTGGCCTCCGAATTGTGACTTCATTTGTACTGTGTAATGCTTTGGTCACTATAAGAATATGATTTCTACTTTGCTTGAATTGGAAAAAATTCAATTTCACAATACGGAGAGACGAACCCGGGTGAACGATATGTGGTGGTTAGGTGGCTAGATGATTTTAAACTGATTTCATTAAACGAGTCAATTCAATTACGTTCAGTAATATATATAATATACCATATAACATATATATAATAAATAAAAAAAACTATAAAAATTCGATTGGATATAAAGCCTTGTTTATAGTAGTTTCTCGCTCCGTAAATGCAG